GTTCAACGAGGGCGTATAGCCATTCACAGTCTGTAGTGACAGGCGCAGATGCCGCCGCCCACACCGGTTAAAATGTGCGCCATGCAAGCAATGACCACGGCAAGTGGAGGAGCCCGCGCAGTGACTCCCGCCTGCCGTCAGCTGCCAAGCCATCGTCCTGACAGCCTGGAGAGGAGGGAAGAGTAGCCTACGCGATCGGCCCAGCCCCAAGCTGTCTCAAAATTGTTCAAATTTGTGTTTATCAGTATGTCATCTGGGTTTACTACACATGCACCCGCTGCAGTTATGGCTGAAATCTCGAGTCCCTTGGACGGCGTGAACTTCGGACCGTTTGCGCATCGCGGTCTCCCGCGACTGCATCGAAGCCCTGAGGCCGTGGCGCAAAGATCTCCTCAGCCGGGGGGTTCCCCTGGGCTTGATGACGTCACGTGTCATGGCCACGACGGACGCGTCGACTTGCGGATGGGGAGCAGTGTGTGAGGGCATGCCGGCTTCAGGGCTGTGGTCAGAACCTCAGAGCCCAGAGCGGTGTAGAGCCGCTGCTCACACATGTTATAGCCGAGCAGCACTCGCCGGCGCATCCAACGACCAAGCCGCTAAAGCCGCTATGTCAGTTCCTGAGCACGTGGAAAACTATTCCGGGAATCTCACGCTGGTTACTCGGTGTGATAGAGCGTGGGTACGCCCTTGAATTCAGACGCAGACCACCCCGTTTCAACGGCGTGGTGAAGTCTCTAACATTGCCTCGAAATGCCCTGGTTCTGAGACAAGAGTATGCAACCTGCTCGAAAAAGGAGCGGTAGAACGAGTCCTTCCGAGCGAGCTGGAGAGCGGGTTTTACAACCGTTACAGTTAGGGTTGTGACGGTGAGGAAATTTTCCCACCGGTTAATTGACGTGTGACAACACCGGTAATCACCGTGGGGGCGGGGCGTTCCCTCTTTTCCTCGCTTTCCTTCGCTTTTAAATAGCTTGTAGTGTGCCCATTTTACTTTAACTTTCAAATAGTGGCAATTCGGAGTAAAGCA